GCAATTAAATACCGAGCGAAGATATACGTCGAAAGTTAATAATTGGCTCGAGATTGTAAAGGTAATGCGAGACAAGAATTTAAACCTAACACACATTGCTCGAACGTTATGTGCAAATGAAATTTCTCGGAACTATACACCGTTCGTGATACTTTCTACAACATTTTCTCAACAATAAAGTTACTTTTATGCATTACGAGAGCAGAATCTAAAATTTGCGTGCTCAATTTTGATTCGCGATCTTTTCTGTCTCCTTTTCTTGCTCGCAAAAGTGCACAGGTGTAAGCGTCTAGTCTTGATCGTAATTCTACGCTTTCTAAGTTTCAGCCTTTTAATGTCTAATTCACTCGTTAACAACCCCCTTCGGCTATTATTTTCATAGATACTGGAACAGCGTGAAAAATCTAACGCATACTTTCTTTGTGTAACGTATCCTTTTTAATTGTTCTCTTATTTCAATGTCTCTATTAAATCACACCGACATTGAACATTTCTCTTTGAACTGAAACCTTCATGCTGTATTTATTTTAGTATTTATTTATGTGCTTTCAAATTATTTTAAATTATTTTAAAATTATTTAAAATTGTTTTATAATATAAGAGAATTTTTATTTCAAGTATTACAAGAAATTAAATATCAATTTTAAAGAATTACTTAAAATAAAAAAACGCAAATTGAAGTATTAAATAGAATTAATTATTAATTGTAAAGAATTAATTAAAATAACAGAAATTCAATTGGAAATATTAAATACAATAAATTATTAATTATAAAGATTTAATAAGAATAGAAGGAATGCAATTAGTATTATTAAAAGGAATTAATTACTAATTATACAAAATGAATTGAAATAAAAGAAATGCAATTTCAAGTATAAAATGAAACTAATTAATAAGTATAAAGAATTAATAAAAATAAAGGAAATCATATTTCAATTATCAAAGGAATTAATTTTAGTTATGAAGAATTAATTAATATAAACAATGCCCAATTTAAAGAGTTAAAAGTCGTCAATTATTAATTATAAAAAATTGATTAAAATAGAGGAAATACAATTTTAAGTATTAATAGAAAATTAATTACTACTTATAAAGAATTAGAACTTCACGTATTAAAAAGAATTAGTTATTATCTAATTTTCAACTATCAAAATAACCAAAACAAATAATGTAAAATGCGAATTAATTTCATTTTATTAAAAATATTTAATACATCCGAAGAATTGAATTTCTGTCTTCTCTTTTCAAATATTTACTTCTATTTAATAGACACATGTAATTTATGATCTATATATTGTAATAGAAAGTGTACCAATATTCTCAAGTGGTAAACTTTCTCGTGTTCAAGCAGAAGATATTACAACCTCTTACCAACAGACATTTTAATTATAATAAATATTCGATAACAACTAATTCGTGCAAAATCGATTCTTGTAAAAGTTCTCAGTTACACCATGAAATTGGTTTTGCGGCTTCACAAATGAAGAACTTCGCGATAAATCATCGTAAATCTCAGCAATCCGTTATTGCCAATAATATCGAGGCAAATACCACAAAGAAGGGCGTGATCGTAGATCGAGCACGATCCTTTCTTTTCATCGAGTGCCGTGAGAAGCGATTATTCTTTGTTGTCTCATCGCAACAAAAATGTTTCCAAGCTACTATTAAGATTCGCATTGACCCACGAATTGTTAGAATGGCAAATATTAATGATGTCAAGATACTTGAAATATTTCTGTTTCAAAATTCATTTTAAAAATATTTTTGGAATTTTTGTTCCAAGATAGTACTCTAAAAATATTTTTAGTGTTTTGTTTGAAGATTCTATGTATTCTAAAAGCACTTCTAAAAATTTTTGCTTCAAGATTCTATTCTAAAATTATTTTTAATATTTTTAACATTCCACTCTGGTAACACTTCTATTTCTGTTTCAAGATTTTACTCTAAAAATATTTTTAAAGAAGAAAGTAATGACTTACAAAAGTAGAGAGTATAATTACTTCATTAAGAGTATAATTATAGCAGAGCATTCATAAAGACATTAGAAGATTTCTAAAATGATCTCTGAATCTAATTACAAATTATATTTTCAAAATATAGAATTTAAAACTTCTCTTCAAAGCCTACAATTTAAAAAATATAAAACATTTAAAAAATCTTTTCAAACTCTTGTGATTTGAAAAACATTCGTAATTACCATATGAAGCTTCCTACATCCAGAAACAGATAAATAAAAAAATTAATGTGAAACCCAGTTGAGTGCACCACAAAATTTACATTTTGAATAAATTACTCTACTCCTTTCACTTGATGCAAAATTAATTTACCTATTAAAAAATTGTAATAGTTATGAAGATTTTCATTCTACTTTCAATTTTATGTAAGGTGATCTATGAAGGATTACCTTTCGAATCTTTTTGTGCGTTTTAATCGCGCTGAAAAACGTCGTGATAGCAAAGGAAAAGCTATTCCGCTTTCTCGTTATGCTTTCACTTTCATTTTTGAACATAGATATACTTATGTTTTGTATTTGTTTTCGATCAAGAAACTGATATTCGAGTCCATTACTTTCTAACGACGTTTTGTATAAATTTTCAAGCTCTCAGATAACAGATTAGATTCGAATGCATTTGAATTGCGTGTAATTACTGTTTCTTGATCATTTGTGAACGTTGATGATGTATTAACTCCTCGTGTTATTTTGACGAATCTGACTCGTGATGCACTCATACTTTAGCTGTGACCAATTTTACTCGAATTTTTAATAAGGTGAAGTGTGGTAAGTGCAGACTGGTTTTTGTAAAATTGGTATTTAAACCTAAGTATTTTCAGTCTGCTATGTAAATACTTATCGCTGTCGATATCGAACGCTTTGCACAATTTCTACTATTTAATTAATATTAACTAAGACCTTAATTTTCCTTGTACATTTTGATTTTGATAGGAAATTGTTTAACATGTCAACTACTCTGCACTTTCCCCGAAAATGGAGTAAGAGCGTAACTTAAAGTTAAATACTTTGAAACTTTATTTCATGTGCAATGGGGCAAGAGCAGAATTATTAACAAATCAGCTATAAAATACTTTTTACTGCATTATGCAAGTACTCTATACTGCAAACAAGTACTCTTAGCTGAAATATAAAAGGGGATAATAATGAAACAAAACAAGGAAACAAACATACTAAATGGAGAAATTTCGCTCATATTGTAATAAAAATAGTTTGCATACTTGTCCCGTTTACAAACTTACCCCACTTCACCTTACGTTTCAATTTAGAGTTTAAGTCCGATTATTTGCATAGTCGATTGATACCAAATTGACGTAATATCCCAACTTTCTTTCTTTGTTTTAATATTGTAGCAATAATTAGTTCTGACTGACGCACCTGACAAATCATAATGCAAGGAGTCAGACATTACATTGGCAAAACAAGTTTTGTCGTTTTTTCAAGGAAATATTAAATTACAAATCTAATTTGTGTAACTAAAATTTTCTTATAAAATATTAATTGTTTCTTTAACGTGTAATGAGAACTATTGATTAGAATCTTCATTTCTGATGAAACTGACACTTCTAACCATTACTGCAATTTCTATAGTTAGGCTACACATACATTTTACAAGTTTAAACAACCTTCTTATCTTTATGAAAATGTTATATAGTATTATGTATGTAAAAATTAGTCTTCGTTTATTTCATTTTTAACCATTTATAATTAATGAATTTATATTTGATAAAATATTTGTTGAATTTATATTTGGTTTTCTACTTTATAAATTTATATTTGCTACATTTATATATTATACTTGATACGTCTAATAAATTACTCTAAAATGTAAGCCTCACATACGTAATTGTATAACTAAAAAAACGTCAGCATACAGATTAAATAAAAATTATAAATTTGATCATAAAAGACATAACTTTTTACCAACTCAAACACGAAAATTTGCATAAAAGATGCAAACACGTGTGACATACGTCCGTGCATCTCAATGTCACTCGATTGTTTGGATGATTACTTAATACTTCCTCACCTTTAAACAATTAACACTTTTCGAGCCTTTCTTGACCGCGAAAGACGAATCGGTTTCTACGTTCAGCATGTAACTGCTAATCACATTAACACTATACTCACGGCGTTTTGCTTCCTCACTTTCCACCATAAACCTCAATAGCTCCATTCGTCTGGAAACGATCTTTAATAACCGATCGATCGATTACTATCTGTCGAGGATCGATCTTTTACGATCGGTTAAAATCAAGGCGAACATTTAGAAATCTTGAAAGCTGGCACCGCCTTGAACGAGCGAAACAAGTTACACGGAGGCAAGTTATCTTTTTTTTTAGAAATTTAACAGGGTGAATGCTTTTCTAGACTTGTACGCAGTGAATCAATATACTACTATTTTTCTCGAAAGATAGAATTACAAAATGGTTATCCGATAGTTTGCTAACCACACTTTGAAAGCATATTTCGTGATCAAAAGTGAGAGAGTCATTTTATGTAGTGTCGAACAGGTTTGCATGCAAAAGTTTATTATTATTGCTTTATTATTATTTATATTTCAAACAAATTTGGTGTAACTAATTTCTTATTAGCATGTTCATTGTTAATACCAGTTATTAGATTGTCTACTTTTTTCAATAAAATTTTCAGTTTAATACTGCGAGTGTAATATTAATATAATATAACATTAATATCATAATATTATAACATTATTAATATTATTAATAATCTAAACAGTCAAAATAAGAATTGATAGTAATATTTTTGGTTTATTGTTTAATTTACTCCACTTTTTTTATAATAAATATTGTGTTCTATATTTATTTTCTTTTGCTATTATTATTATTGGAAAAATTAAACTCATCAACTGCTACTATTTTTATGGAACAAACAAAACTCATCAATTGTTACTATTTTTATGCAACAGATGAATAATAAACAATAATTATCATAATAATTTTTAACAAATCTTTTTCACTGAACTTACCTGGATCAGAGCTTCCGGCTGCAGATGCTTCAAAAATTCACCTTGCTGATAAGAGACTGAGGGTTGTTGCTGTTGTTGTTGGAACCTTAATTCTGCCTGCATCGCGGCAATAGATTCGGGGGTGCAGGATGCTCGAGCTTGAACCCAGGACGCTGCAAGTATGAAGCTTCCAAGGACCACAGACATAGTCACTAAGGTGACAGCCGCGATCCTTGCAATTTGGACCGCCGTGCTTTTTGGCCTCATGTATGCCTACAAATAAATAAACAAAATATTAATATTACGAAAGAACATTACATACTGTAAATTGAGGTAAATATTTAGAATAAGAAAGCCGCATTCGATTTCTAAACATCAAGGTGCGTTTTTCAAAATTATGATAATTATGTATCCTTTGAATGAAAGTCTAAATGAAAACATGATTAATGTGTGTTTCATTTACTATTCGACTGTATTAAGCTCATGCCTATGTACATGTAGAATGCGTTCATTAATTCCCACATATATTTTCGAAGTACTTAAAGAGTCCGTCTTAAAGGGATTTTGGAATTTAAGAACTTAGGAGTTTTAGAATTTTGGAATTTTGGATTTTAGGATTTTAGGAACTTAAGATTTTAAGGATTTGGCATTTTAGGAATTTGGGAATCTTGGAATGTGGGAACCTTGGAATTTAGGAATGTAGGAAGCAAATTTAGGAATTTAGGAATTTAGGAATTTAGGAATTTAGGAATTTAGGAATTTAGGAATTTTGGAATTTAGGAATTTAGGAATTTAGGATTTTAAGATTTTAGAAATTTGGAAATTTGGAAATTTGGAAATTTGGAAATTGAGGAATTTAGGAATTTAGAAATTTTTGAATTTTGGAATTTAGAAATGTAGGAATTTAGTCATTTAGTAATCTAGGGATTTAAATTTGGGAATTTGGAAACTAAATTGGGAATTAAGTATCAAAAGAACGATAATACTATTGTAATTAATAAAATTATAGCAAACTTTTTCTTTTAAAACTATTACAAATAAACTGAAAACTAATTTATTACGATGACTCTACTGACAAAACAGGAAGTAACAATAAATTTTTCGCCTCGTAATTATCATACATCCTCATTTTTATTTTGCTTCGTACAAAAAGTTACCTTGAATTTTGAACCTACTACGCACCTTCCAGCATACTTTCTACAAGATCACAGAACTAACAGTTTCACAAAATGTTATTGTCTTTGTTCGCAAAATTGCATGCCCTGTTTCCGGTTTAATTAAACAATATAACGCGTATGAATTACAGTTTTCGCAGTGCGAAATAGTTTCGTTTTAACGAGTGCCGGAACAAGTGTGCCTCTTATAATTAGATTCTAATTACCCGAGATTTTCAGTCGCCATTATTGTCCTTTCTATTTTATGTTAATCAAACGTGATTATATTGTCTATAGCAATCGGTCCCCACAGACGAAGAAAGGAATAGTTCAACTTCCGTGATGATCTCACTATGCAGAAATAAACTTACAGCGTTTCAACTACATTCCTATTCAGGTTTTTTAATTTATTCCTGCTCGGCTGATTTATCTTTCTTCTGTTTCTTTATTCGGTTTCTAATATTATTCGAGAGAGTTTCTGTTTTAAAGTCATTTTTACTCATTCAGTTTCTACAATTGTGTTTCACAAGTTGAAATAACGAAATCAATTTTATGCAATAAGAGGTTTGTGGACTGATATATGAAATCAAAAATTAACATCTTAAATACGAAATGGAGTTTAAGCGAAATAAACTTTTTTCGATAGGCTTTTATTATACTTGAAAATCTTTTCTTTGAAGGTCTTTTTATTTGAATTATGTTTCATAATGTCAAAGAAATAAATTGTATGCAATAATAGCTTTTGTTATTAATATTTGATAATTAGGGTTTTTTAAAATTTATACATAAAATGAAGTGGGGTAAGTTCGTAAACGGGGCAAGTGCGTATACAGGCTATTTATTACAATATGAGCGAAATCTCTCCAACTTTACAAAAACCAGTCTGCACTTACCCCACTTTACCTTAATTTGTAAGATGAATTTTACTTATACGATTATGTACAGGGTGTTTCATAAGTGGTGTAATTCCTGGATAGAGTAGTTGAGACGATTCTGAGGTGAGTCATTAATAATTTAAAAACGAAGCTTCGAACGCCATTTTTGCAAAGGGAGATCTTGTTCAAAATGGCGTCCTTTACCACCCATTTTTGGGAGTTGCACTAATTATGAAACATTCAGTATAAGAGGGTATATTACTATACAGGGTGTATGTATGCTTTATATTTATATGTAATGTTGCATATGTAATTACTAGTGTACATATACTATAAGCTAGTACGTATACTAGTAGTGAATAACACCTGTATATTACTATACCGTGTGTATGTAATGCTTTATATGAATATGTAATGCTGTATATGTAATTACTAGTAAATAAACTAGTACGTATACTACTAGTGAATAACTACTTAATTTTTATCTACGAATATTTCTCATCTTATTAAATCAAATCACCATATGTATGTAGTAACTTTTACCATATGTATGTAATAATCTCCCTGTTATTAACACGCACGTACTAATTATAACCTTGTTACTATCTACAATATTTATTGTACCAAAAAATACTGTTCAAATTCCTAACTTGACAATTTTTACCAATTTCCTTCAAGTAACACTTGCCGTTCTTTCCATTCGAACGTCGACTAGAATTTGCAATAAAGGTTGCACACATTCCTGCAAACGAGACAGCTGCAAGTAGCACTGAGACACGTGCAAGAATCATTATAGGATAATGAAGTCGATTTAAAGTATGCACGCAGAGTGCAATCACATGAATATGTGGAACTTCATGCTAGCTAACCACAAAGTCGAGGTCTTCTGTCGTTTCACGCTCTCCTTTCGCGTGTTCTCGTCCATTCCGATTTCACGGATTGAAGCTAATCGCGGGAAAAAAGTGAAAAATAAAATTGGATAACCTCACTATATCTCTAATACGGGTTTCTTAACACGCAAACTATCAAATTACCGTTTTACAAGCTACTTATTTTAAATTACATTTGCGAAGATGATTTTCTTCAAATCTGTGTCAATCTTCGGGACTGTAGAATTCATTTGTGTATTAAAAGGTTTTTTAACGTTTACTTATTTTTTAACTCAATTTATTATTTTAGAATGTGCATTATTAGGTAGATTTAGTTGATTGATAAAATATTCATGCTGTTTTTAAAATGTAGTCAATTATTATGTACGGACTGATTCTAGTACCCAGGTCAAACTATAATATTGTGCTACTACTCTGACCACCCAGTATAATTATAAATATTATATATATAATTTAAAAAATTGTTATTATAATGTATAATTGTAACTATATATTTTTATGTATAATTTGAAACTAAATTGAACTGCTTTTTCATGTAATCTGAAACTGAATTGAACTACGTTTCCATAAAACTTAAAACTAAATTTCATATTTCAGTAGTCTGATGCCAATATCCTATTAAACCTGTATGGAAATCTATATTCCTCATAAAAATACGATAATAGTGTAATTCGATATTAATCCACTGATTTATCTAAAATCATTTTTATTACGAATCGAAGCGTCAGCTGTTAGTCTTGAAACGGAAATATGGCCGATAAAGTAAGTCCGATTCTCAATAACTGTACCTTGACACTATTAATTCGAACTCGTTCTGTTACTTCAAAACCTTGAAACTCATAAAAATTCGTAGTTCTTGTAAATGCATCTCTGATTTTGTTCTTACGCTCCAATGGTCTGGATACGATCTGGTTCTGAACATCATTCGATATTCATAATAAAACAGGTATGGTATAACGTAATTAATAAAGTACTAAAAAGTACTTCGATTAATTTCATGTCAGGTTTATTAGATAGATAAACACGTGTAAATCTAATTAAAGATATAAATTATGTGTTAATTGACTAATTACGAGTGACAAAAATGATAAGGTCGGAATTTCCGTGGCAGATTAAATATCGTACCGTTACGAAACAAGGAAAAAAAGTGGACGGAGGAAATTTCTGGAAAAGCTTAATTTGAAGGCATGATCGCCGTCATTATTTCGGTATCCCGTAATTTACGAATAATAAGGAAGAATCTCGTTGAAGACAAAACGAGGTATCAGTTAAGATAAATCTGTATGAGATAAAAGTTGTAACCATAAATCCTCATGCGAATCGTGCATCAATATGCAAATAAGAAGTGGGGTAAATGCAGACTGATTTTTATAAAGTTGGTATTTAAACGTAAGTATTTTCAGTCTGCTATGTAAATACTTAACGCTGTCGGTATCGAACGCTTTGCACAATTACTACTATTTAATTAATATTAACTAGGACCTTAATCTTCCCTGTACATTTTGATTTTGATAGGAAATTGTTTAAAATGTCAACTACTCTGCACTTTCCTCGAAAATGGTGTAAGAGCGTAACTTGAAGTTAAATACTTTGAAACCTTATTTCATGTGCAATGGGGCAAGAGCAGAATTATTAACAAATCTGCTATAAAATGCTTTTTTACTGCATTATGCAAGTACTCTATACTGCAAACAAGTACTCTTAGCTGAAACTACTCTATACTGCAAATAAGTACTCTTAGCTGAAATGTAAAAGAGAATATAGTGAAACAAAACAAGGAAACAAACATACTAAATGGAGAAATTTCGCTCATATTGTAAGAAAAATAGCCTGTATACGCACTTGTCCCGTTTACGAACTTATTTCGCTTCACCTTATTAAAAATTTGTGTAAAATTTATCATGGCGCCCAAAAAATGAGTTGCTCCGATGTAAGACGACTTCAACATTTCCCAATTTATCAAGTGAAAAGGATACCACGTTTCACGCATCAGTTAACACGTGCTGCTTTAATTGGCAAATTAATTGAAAAGGGCAAACGCTTGTGACACAGACTGTACTTGTACATATTCGTAATGACCTCGATGTGGATGGACGACTCTAAGGTAAGAGGCCTCGAGGAGATAGTAGGCCATCCGAGGCTGCCTTTATGCTGCTCGATCTGCCAGACAAAAGTAAAGAGGCACTGTTGCCAGGCACTTCAGATGAAAGGATTATTATACATATATACAATATGACCAAATTTTTAAGCGTGTTCCCTTCAATACACTCTGACTCATTGTATTCCGTTAACATAACAACATGTCTCAAAAAGCCTGGATCAACGAATCTTGTTGGTGATTTTGCACATTCTTT